CTCGTCACACGGCGTCACAAAAAGTCAGACCCCCCCTCAAATATGACGTCACAAAGCTCTGCACCCCCCCCCCCCCAAAACCATATTTCCATTTTGAAAATAAAACATGCTTCAAATCGCTTTAAACTATTGTCATTGTAGTGCGTATTTAATGTGGCGCTGCACTCTGATGTTGTAGGAGTGTTGTTATAACAATTAGTGTTGTTATAACAATTTGTGTTGTTATAACAATTCTATATTTATTTAAATTTACGCATTTTTACGTGACGTCACATTTCTCAAACCCCCCTCCGCGTCACACATCGTCACAAATGTCTGACCCCCCCCCCCCCCAGGTGCGTGACGTCATTTATGGACGGCCCCTTTACGTTTTAAGTGAGACACGAGGGCAAAATGTACCTTGGTCCACTGACGCCTGCCCGCTGGTCCCTTGCGATGGCTCCCGCTGACCAATTAAGAGTCGCACGTGCCATGCGGAGAAGAAAGAGATAATTAGGAATCAGAGGGGTTTCTGTATTATTCATAGGCTTGTTTACCCAGGACATCCTTACTGAGTCAATAGGGGTCTTGCCAAGTGTATGCAATTAAGGGCAATGTTGGTGTGTGTAATCTCAATTGAGTAGTTATGCACGTGCTAGAATTTGTATCATTGGAATGTTCTACCCGCGCCAGTTACACTGTGTGTGTGGTTTTAGCTCTGGGAAGAAAGTGGAGAACCTCGAGGAAACCCACGCAGAACGTAGAAAGGCACACACAGAAAGGCACCCCAGTCAAGAATCGGACCCACGTCCTTCTCGCTGTGAGGCACACGTGTTACCATTGATATCCTACAAACGGATCACCCCGTAGAGTAGAGTCATGCTGCTTTACACAAATACCTATTCATTTATTTTACTTAGAATGCCGTTTTTGATGAGTTATTTATTTCTGCTCTTAAAGTGTACAGTAGAAGCTGCACATTGAAACAGGAGCTTGGCACTAACACATATAAATGTAAAACATGTGAACTGTACACAATTCCGTGTTACCAGACACACGCGCGCGCTGAGCCTTACACAACAAATTACATTTGTGGTGTGCGCCTGTTGTCCTTGGGGTCTGGTCGTTGGGATGCTGCAACGACACGGGATGGTTCCTGCAGAGACAAAACTGTCCTCTTAAATATTTGAGCACCTGCAAGCTGTACACATCCAGCTTATGAAATGTTAACATTTCCATGACTAATTTTTTTATACGTAGCAGATGCAACTCCAAGATGATTTATCTGCTTGGCCAGATTGAATTTTTTTTTTCAAATGCATAAAACCCACAATATACTGAACCGTTTTGTTGTTGTGTTCTTTTGAAGAGTGGTGACAAATGCTGTCATTGAAAGATAAAGTTCGTATGAACTTTGCATGTGGAATGGTTAGCTGTGAAACGTCTGAGTTATTTGAGGCTTTTATAAATACATTCATCGATAATTTAATTATGTGCCTTTACAATACTTGCTCACCTTCAGGTTTAATATATATATTTTTTATTTTTTTTTACCTACGTGACTTTACCGAAAAAAAAACCTAAGAATATGAATTCTTGCAGTCACTAAAGCTTCAAATCTATAAATAATTTACACTCTGTGCCTCTGTTACTGCCTGTGGTGTAATGTACGGAGTATCGGCACAACATTCGTTTTTATATTTGCACGTTGCTGCATTCCAATCAATGCATGTCCACACTACTTCCCTATTTCACAAAGATCAATCATTCATTAGAATGTTGCCATTTAAATAACAGACACCATCACAAGATAGCCTTGTGATGAAACTCATTAGCTCATATGCTCCGTGAATTAGGATCAGTTTTCGGAGTATTATTTAGCCATTTTGATACATGTAGAGTATTGTGCGCTGCTCTTGTGTGTGGATCCGTGACTACGCATGCTTGGCTTAAATTAACCATAATGACTGCTGTTTTGCTGTGGTGATGGTCTCGCAATCCTGATAAGTGGCCAGTTAAGTTAATACGAGGGCCTTGTTTGAACTCTGGGAGCTATTTTTTTTCAAAGCGGCGTTTACACATGCGACGATGCCGTGGTGTATGGGTGAGCACACTCGACTGGTGGAGAGATGTTCACTACCTTGCTTGGTATGCAGGAGGCCGTGGGTTCGACCCTGACCCTGACTCCTGCATATTTAGAGTTTGCATGTTCTCCCCGTGGCCACGTGGATTTTTCTCCGGGTCTTCTGGTTGCTCCCCTCCACATTTAGAAAAATGCGTTTCGAGTGTTTGGCTGATGTAAATGCCCACGTGACGAGCCATTGAGTGGAGCTATCATTTGTGGCCAGGTCGTTTCAAAGAAAATTGCTGTTTGGCTCAGTGGGCCTTACCTGGTAAAGTAAAAAAATTAGTGTAGTTTAGTCTCCTCGTGCGGCAGTTGAAACAATGGACAAGCTTATCAGTGTATATATCGATACAGGTTGTGTGTGGTGAGGTAAAGTGTGGCTACTCCCAATGCTGCCAATGTGGAATTTTAAATTGTCTCCATAACATTCATAGTCTAAATACACGTTTCATAATACAGTACAATGTAATCATTAAAAATTTGCACGTTTCATGATGAAGTAATGCATTGCATTGTCTATGTTGAAGTGTTGACATTTCTTTCAAGAATCACGATTTATTACATTTTGTTTGAGCCTTCAGATTGAGCGACCGTGATTTTGGACAGCCGGGGCGATTTCCGCTCTCGGCACAGCAGAAGTGAAACAAATGGCTCATTGTCTTTGGCATGCATTCACTGCCGACCTGTGAATGTAATCGAGCTCACTTACTTGGAGGTGACTTGAGGAACAAATATTTACCTTGAGCAAACTCAACCCAAAACAGCATGCAATCTGGTGATGCAAGTGTGAGTTTTGTGGCAGGGGCTTTTGGAGATGCCCAGTGGGGCCACTTTGCCTGGTGTGCTGTTGGGTCTAGTTGGCAGAATGTGCGATGTGTGGAATAAGTAAGTGTCTTTACCCAACGTTAATCAACGTGCACTCATCTTCATGATAATGAAACACCCCTTACCGCCTCCCACAATCTATTCTGCTCACAACATTACGTAATAATTTCACTGTAAATAACTTAATGGTGGAATTATTTCGGAGTTTCGGGTTCAGTAATGCAATATTCGAGGTGACAAGTCGTTTGCAAGTGATTACATGGGACATGGCGTTTATGTGGAAGCTCTGATCCAAATGGTGGTGTTTTTTTTCTCGTATGGAATTTAGAGATCAAATGTGTAGTTGCTCTTCTGTCTGAGCTATTAAAGCCCATCAATGTCATATTGTCTAGTCAATGTCGTCTTGTCTAGCGTCTCCTTTCAGGCTGTTGTAGACTTCCACCCAATAAGTGTTATACAATGCGTACGTCAACCCATCACTCCCATATGCTTGCTGTATCCTACAACCTAATTTCAATGTGTATTATCGACGGGGTTATCTCATTATTGGTCTTCCAGTACATGATCGAGTTATGTGCAATTTATATAAAAACATACATATATACTACAGTCACACACGAGCGGACATCCACCATGCAGGTCGACCGAGACAATCAGCTCTTGTGCACAAGCCAGATCGATTGTTTAGACCTCAAGAGATAGGTGTCTGTTCAGAGACAGGCCTTCATCCAGCAGTGTATTATTCATCGTGGCTGTTAAACTATGTTCACAAAAATCGACTTCACACGTGCACCCCTGCGACAGGAGTGACAGAGCGCGCATCGAATTTAAAACTCGCTTTCCGTGTTTCAGACACGCTCTCCCACTCCCACACCCCCCGCTGCATGCCGTGCCCATATAAAAATTAAATAAGCGCGAACAAAAAAAATCAATTAAGGATGAAATCAAAGCGATCCGTCTCGTAACGGCGGGCGCTGCACGCACGCGTTTCTCGTGCGGTGCGCTGTGCCCTGGACCCCCTCTTGGCAGTAAACGACCCCCCCCCCCCCCCGCGTGCGTGCGCTTTGGCCGCTTCGTATCGTCTCTCGGTCGGTCCCGTCCATTTGGCAAAGACCGCGACGACGGCCTCTTTCTGCTACCGACTTCGCCTCGTAGCCCTCCCTGGACTGCGAGCGCCTACAATGCCACCCTGTGAGTAAGTGCCACGACTGCATTTGCAGTCTCTCCGCACATGTTCGTACACACGGCGCAAACAAGCTGCGGTGATCGAGTGAAGGGACAGAATGTGTGTTTGCTTGTTCCCGTTTGCGATGCTGTGTTGAAACAGGCAAAAAAAAAACATGTTTCGTTTAAAGAAAACAACTATGTGCTGTGTTGAATGGTATTCGATTTTGTGCCAAATATATCGATTATTATATATTTATCAATCGGCGTGTGCTCATAATGAAATTAGCGAAAATGAAATTTTACTCAAAAATATTTAATTCTCTTGGTTTTTCAGTGTGCCGCTGTGCGAATGAAGAACACGCTGAGCTATACGTCCATGCTCAAATGATTTCTCATTCACTCTATACGCATCAGTAACGTTGGGGAAAAAATAATGTGCTTATCTTCAAAGTGCCATATAAGGTAGTCAGGTTACATTGCCAGAGATAAACATGATGATTTAAATAATGCACTGTATACAAAACACCCACTGCTGTATAGGGATGCTCAAATAATCGCCCTTCCAGACTTCTTGATAACCACTGATTAATTTAATTATACGTTAGATTCCATTCTATTTCATGGTATGCTCTCATGAATCTCAAACATTATCACAGTCCTGCGGTTTGGCCCTTTTTCTTTTATAAATGTAAAAATACCCACCACCAGTGGAAAACCCACATAGACATCCCACGACAGTCAGTTCCCACCCACTGATGTTAATATTGGGAGGATTCTGCATGTGTGGACGAACCCGGTACACAATGTGCGCCATGAAAAATGTTAAGTGTGAGGTCGGCCAGCTCGTGCAGTGGTGTGCCGGCCTTTCAGATGAGGTCAGAATGCAATCGTGACTTGGAGGGCTCTGGCTTCCAACACAGGCTGCAGATGCGTGCTTGTGGGGAATACTTTGCACGCTAGCAGCCGGAGGCAAGTGCTGTCCACCTGGTTGATATCCACCGGTGCCGATTGTTTCCGCGCTGATTGTTTCACTGGGGGTAAGCTTGACACGTTGATTTTCACCTCGACCGCATGCTATTTATTTTTGCTTGCATACAAGGGTTATTGTCGAATATTGTTACGAGATGCTGTGCGGAGAGAGAGAGTTTCAACTCAATTGTATTGTGGAGCCTATGCAATGTTATTGTGGTGTGTTTATCGTGTCGCTGCATTTGGTAAATGTTCAACTGTGAAATAACACTCGTTACACACGCATTGTAGTTTAGTGTGAAGTTTTTCACGTACAAATTGAAGTCTTTAATGTATGTATGCATTTTTTGAAAGACATAAATATATGCAGCTTCACTTAACTAATGAGGCTGCTTTTCAAGGAATGGCCATATCCATGATTGTCGTATGACGCTCTCTTGATGCAGTTTCGGACAATTCAGTCGCCACCTGCTCTCGTCTCCAAACAAGCATGTCGTTAGAGTGCTCTGAAATGCCACACTTATTGAACAACAGAGGCACGCAAATGTATACAAGTATGAGTCGCAGTACATCACTAAACTAATCTGTGCCTTCAAGTGGCCATTCCCTAAATCTGTTTTTAAATACGGCGCACGCTCCAGTACTTGGCCTTCAGATTTTATATTTATACGCTTGTCTATTCATTCTAAATATAAGTTTCCGTTAATTGTGTAAGCATGCGTATGGAAATTGGAGCCTACCCGTATCCCACCAATTTCATAATTTGACGTTCATGATTGGGTTATTTTTTGGTGTGAAATTTAATGCACATTTTCCCGCACTACAATAGAATTCGTATCCGTGGTGATGTGGCGAACAAGCATTGCTTATCCCAGAATGTAATCTGTAATTGAACTTCCACATCCTCGAAAACAATGCGAGGATAGTACAGACTGACTGGAAGAATAGGGCCGCGAATAGTACATTGAATGGACCCTACAGCTGGTGAAGGTGTAATAGGAGTCTTGAGTAATCGGGTCACAGATGAGAGGAGTTATCCTGTAATCCGAGTCCCTTGTGTTTGAAGATGTTGTATTGTGGTTTTCATGTCTCAGGACAGAACTGCTCATCTTAAGTACATTTGACCAAACATGCGTCATCAGCTTTAATTGACGCTGGTACAATTTCAACGTGATTTGTGGGTCCTGGTGCAGAGACCTGGTGGCTGGCTCTCATGTTCATCACAACTGTCCCTTTCTCTCAATGGCTCTTCAGGCGGGCACAGCAATGTATTAAACTCACAAGGGGTAGGTCTCGACTGTTGTTGTTGCTACTCGATATGCAGAGCTGACATTTACTTGTAACGACTGAGATACGACATGCGATGACATTGGCATGACTGTTAATGATGCAGAATATGGACATCCAGGGGGGCTTTTGTAAATCGATTGGAATCAAAATGATGGAATAAGAAAGTCTTCGAAGCGCATGTTGGAGTGCTTTTGGGAAACTGAACTTGGTCTAATCAAAAGCAACATGCCAAGAACACAAGCTGAAGAGTGCACGTGGAAGCGTGGAGAGTTGCTTGCTAGCAATTACGTCGAGGGACATGATGGGGGGCACGTGGAATAAGGAACATCGGCAGTTTAAATGCATCACGAGAGGGTGAATAACCGACGGTCAGGAAACATGACGGAGTGGCAGCGAAGTGGTGGAACATCCCAGCGTGTCCACCGAGAAGAAGGAGAGACGGCATCAGCCCGTGTGCAGGTGCCACGTGGTTTGTTGCAGGGCAAAATCTTGAGAGATGGCGAAAGCTTTGAGAGGCCTCATCCAGCAGTGAACTTATTTCGCACCGTACGTAGCCAACCGTGCTAATGATGACGATGGTTACATAGTTATTAGAACAACCGATGGTAATGAAGTACGGGAAATTAATAAATAACTTGACAAACAAAACTGCAAAGTGGTGGGAGCTAAGGATAAATACGGGAAATAACTAAATGTATGTATTCTGAACAACAGGAAATCATTGTTTGAAGGGCACACCTGGAAAACACAACAGTGTATTATATACCTAACCCAGTTACTAAAGGCGTATCACGATCAACAATATAAAATAAAGAGGCAATTGAGAGCAGGATAAAGTGTATTTAAAATAATAATTTGATGATTAAAAATCGAAATATCACTGTATCCAGAGAAGAAAGTGTTTTAAATCAGTGTATATGAATGAAAACATCAACATTGAACAAAAGCTGAAAAGTGCACGTAGAAGCGTGGGGAAGTACATAATCGGAATTAAACTTCGAGACAGGCAGGGGGACACGTGCATCAGAGAATTAAGCTGAGAGACAGGAACACGTGGATCAGAGGCCACAAGAACGCGAGATACCTCGCCTTGACTTCAAAAAGTATGTGGGCTTGGGCAAGACACACCACGTGAAGGCGTAATATCTGGCGGAAGAGATTGGTGACGGAATGAAGCCAGAGGATAAAACGCGCACAGGAGGATGACCACCACGGAGATGGATCAATGAGATCAGCTCACGAACAGGGGTGAGGTGGATTGTGACATTGCAGGACGATAAGGGATGGTGATAGAGTGGGGAGACTTTAATCCACCAAGTGAATAGAACATGCTAGTGATTAATAACATTTGCAGTTGCTGTGGTATTAATATGGGCCACAGCGTTTTTTTAATTTCACAATTCATAAGTAATCAGGAGGGTGTAACATTTCAATGAGCATGGGTTTTTTCTTTGGAGTGCTGCTAGGGAAAGTAATAATGTTTTGGCAGTGCAAGTGCAATTCCGGGAGGTTGCAAATGTCGGGGTTAGTGGGTGACTTATGGATGGACAGTCTGGGACGGCTCGATTGAATGTGTCACGAGGCAGAGACCGGCGTTGTCGTCTGCGTGGACTGGCGAGCATTGGTGTGAAACCAAATGCTCGTCATGCACCCGCTAGCACACGTGTGCGCATCATATGCATGCGGTATTATTGATGTGCCTTGAATCCGTTTAAAATTCCATATTTTACCCTTCATAATCAACGTTTTTGGGTTTAGATCGCGTTATTTATAAATGTGTCGTAACCCTCCACCACCCGACACGGCCAATCGGTAAAAAAGTGTCACGTTGACAAAAGACAATTAGTTCACTGCTTTAGCCCACTGGTGTGTTGAAGCGTGAAACCACAACAATTTATGAGTAATATTGGTCGCGAAAGCCTACGTGTTAAATATTTTACCCTGTTGTTCTGTAAGGGATCAATACCGTAAATTAGAGGCATTATTCAAATTATTGCCGCATGAATTAGGTTGCATACTTTTGCATATGTTTGTTGGTTGGTCAATGCTGGAAGCTGTAGCTTTGACACCTGGATGGGGCATTGGAAACCACGAATCGAGACCGAGCGAGCACAACACCTCGATGCTGAAAGCAGATGCTCTGAGAGGTCATTCTGCTGGCTGGCAGAGCAATGAACACCACATTAAACAATCAACCTGACGCATCTGTGTAGAATTGGTGGAAATGTGGTGAATAAGCAAGCGTTTAAAAAACAAATGCTAGTTTGCATCTGCTTACAACCATGATGATTACACATGACTGAATGTACTTGTGCTTTCATATATTATATTTTTTACGTGTTGCATTTATTCTAATACAGAAAAATGTATTATTTTTAAAGCTCAATATAACACTATTTCCTAAGAAGCTATCTTACCATCTGCAAAACGGATGTCATTATCTCCCTACTCACGCAAGAATAGGGCAGTGCTTACAGCGAAACCTTGACTTTCGTCCACTTGACTTTCGTTGCTTCACTCTTTCGGCCGTTTTTCATTATAAACACAATTCAAATGTCGCCTACGCGTGTTCCTCTTTTGTCTGATTTCATGCAACCTTCCATGACGTTCGCGCCACGCATCATCTTTTTCGTTCAGTCTTTGAATAGAAGTCGTTCAGTGAGCATTACGACTATAATGAGTCAAGAATGTGTGTTTGTGTGTAACGCGCGTGACGTCACTCCACATGCCGCACCCCCCCGTCATGAATATTCATGAGCGGGTGGATTTTTACACTCACGCAGAAGGTCGAGCGGAAATATTTTTTTTCGCAAATTCGCTTTAAGTTTGACGTTTCTTTATGGAAAGGGAATCTAATAAATAATTATACGCAGCAACAAAGTGGATTTGGTGTCTTTTATTTATTTCTTCAGCACTTGAGACGCAAGGTTAGTCTAATTTATGCTTCTACATTATGGTAAAATAGATATTTCTCGGTGATTTTCCAGATATTGTATCGAATTCCAATTTCATTCAACCCCAGCGACCGAAAGCAAAAGAGAATAAAGTATCAGAGCAATGAATTTTTACAAATTGAAGGCCAGTTATATACAGTGCTACAGTGACATGAAGCGAGGTGTTTCATGACAGTTTCGATCAAGAATCATTGCCATTAATACAGTGCTACAGCGAACTGCAGTGAACTGCAGTGAAGTGTTTCATGACTTCGTTTTGTGCAAGATTCACTGCCATTAAATTTACACAAGATACAATGAAACTCTGCAAAAATAATTCGTAAATATTACAGCTTCCGTCCTAGGGTGGGCAAACAAGCTAGTCTTATATTTGTGTTTATTCATCTATTATTAATACTGTACTCATTTCTGTGATTATACTGTAAACAATTCATAGTTATTTTCTGACAACATAATACTACAGTGTTCATAGTTAGTTTCGTGATTATTAAACACGTGTAGAGTATTCATACTGTGCTTATTTTTGTGATTAAAGTAAAAATATTTATTTTTGTGCTTTAATATATTCAAAATGGGTCCTAAGTGTGGTGATAGTAAAGCTAAACGAACACATGAGGTTCTCAATTTTCAACAAAAGCTTGACATAGTCAAACGTAATGAGCAAGGCTAAATAAAGGCTCTGCTGTGACATTGGCCCATGCTCTGGCCCACGAACCAGAAGTGTGAGGTGTTCCTGTGTCTGCATTGGAGGCTCTGAGGCAGTGGGGACAATTGCCACTTTCCAATACTGTAAGACGGGGTCGGTTCATCCGTAGAAAGACCAC